TTAGTGCATGGATGAATGCTCAATGTACGATATTAGACGATACTAGTGTGTATGCAGCGTCCAATATTGCACATAAAGCACTCATCCATGAATCACTCTCTACTATGTACACGTGGTCTAATATTGCACGTGGCATATTCGTCCATGCACCAACATCAATCACGCCATCATTGGACTTTAAAATTGATAACTTTACACTGTTTTACTCGATCACATTTTGTTACGCGCCTGGTCGCGCTGCTCGCGAAAGGATTTACAATCCTGTTCACGCAATGTCTACAAGTTACAATTAGAGGTAATCGTATAATTATAATTCTGTGGCTTCGCTTAATGGACGTAATAGCTGTTTGGAAAACTAGATTACACGTGTCCCTCGGCTCAAACAGCGTTTGCACGCGACGCGCGACGCGAACGGTACGGGTCACGCCGGAATTATGCCGACACGAGGCGCAGACCGGCGCATCCCGCGCATCTCCCTACCGACACGCGAAGTATCCCGGGGAATTTTCCCGCGAAGTAATCCCGGTTACGTCGCACGATAAGACCCAACTGGAAGAATATACGGCGGCGTAAAGTAAGCGAGGAGGCGGCTAGAAGCCCGAGCACGGAAGATTCATTTAAGGCTTATGAAGAAGTCTACCCACTTCGTGAGAGCAGCCGTTCCAGCCATTCCCAGCCGCTTCTTCTTCCATCCCCCTCCCGCGCGCCTTTCCACCCCGAAAACTCTGCCATTCTTGAACTATCGTTCGTCCTCGCGCGCGAGCACAGTAGTATAATGGAGGGCCATCGCCGCCGGTGAAAGTTCACCGGTGGAAAGTTCGGATATTTTATTCGGTGCCCGGAATAACTTTTAATATCTCGGTTCTGGGTTTATACCGGAAGGGAAAACGAGGAGGAGAGAGGAAGCAAATGCGAAAAAGCGTGAGGACGAGTTGGACCACTAGCGGGCGAAGGGAAAGAGAGAGAGAGAGAAAGAGAGAAAGAGAAAGAGAAGGGAGAAAGAGAGTAACTCCCGCGACTTTTTAACGTCGGCGGACTGACGTCGCGCTTCGGCGAGCTTTGTAGACTTTTAATGAAGAGTTCGGGCGCGCGCTTATTGGTTTCTGCAAGCGGTGGTGGCGGCGACCTGTTCACGGGCGTTCGCGCGTTTTATTACCCGCCCGCCCTCCGCGCGAGGGTAAGACCGCGTATATTTTTCGAGACGCAAGCCGCCGGCGTGGACCGCCGACGACGATGCTCTCCTGCCGTGTCTCGCGCCCCACCGAGAGACGGAATATTATACAGTTGAAATGTTAACTAGTTCGTAACTCGACCCGCGCGCCGGGGTTACCTCCTTGCGGCAGCAAGTTTCGCGAAGTTCACGCAGGCAGTAAATTGTACGCGATACATTGTACCGAGCCCTCTTGAGCGCGGGTATCGTCCGAAGTTACGCGAGAATTTCCGCGCGACCGATTTCTTCAACGCGTATACTTGTGACTTCGTTAGAATGAAGCTCGTCCTTTCAGAACGATCGGAAGCGGATGCTCTTTCAAGTCCGCGCTACGTGCTATTATTCCGAGAGGTATTTCACTGTATTTCTTTTTTTATCATAGTAAGGGTATAAAGTTCTTGCGTTTGCAGAACTCAGATTTCATGTGCTTAGACTACGTCAAAGTACCGCTCTGTAAAAGGCGTCTAAAAGACGTTTCAAGAATGTCGGGAAGATCGGGGCGGTTTTGCGACATTTCGCAGACGTTTGCATTATTTGCGGATTGCTCTCCAACTATAATCATGCAAAGAATGATTGAAATTGAAATAGGAAATAAGAAGATTGAGTAATGAAATTCTTGTTACAACGAAATAACGCATTTTCTCGGTTTTTATATTTGTTATTATATGTTATTATATTTGAAAATAAACGATAGTATAGTTAACACATACTTAATTATGTGAAAAACTTAATAACTCATTTAATTCCTCAAGAAATAAATTTTAATATTCTTAATATTCTTACAGTAATTATTGAATGTATGGATTTAATTATTCGTTCTTTTCTTAGTGATTATTTTTCTACACAAATTTTACTTTTAACTCTTGAAATTTTCCTTTTCATAATTCAAGCACATATTTTTTTTCAATTTTAACTACTTCACACAGAAAAGAAATTTAAAATTTGTATTAAATTTTTATAATCATCTTTTTCATCTTGTAAGAATCAAACTTTGAACAATTATTATTTAATTTATTAAATAGGAAATAACAAATCTCATCTAATTGAAAGACGTTGAATAATTTAAAAATTATAATAATTTAGTTAGTTATAAAGTTTATTTGCAAATTAAAAAAATACGTGCATAGTTGACAAAAAAATCAATTATGCACTAAAGATGCATGTAATCGTGCTCAGGCTAAATATTATATTTATCGGGCGACGTAGAATGGCATGCGTCAAGCTGCGAGAGGACGGCAGTTTAACGAATTCAGAATGTAATCACGGGCCCAAGTTCGCCCTGGCTCCTTAGCCGCTGCTTAGTTACGTAGTCTTGCCGTCGTGTCCCGGCAACTTCGCTCGAGCAAAGTTTCTAATCCGCAAATCGTTGCCTAATATACACGCGGTAGCTGAGGTGATGCATGTTTAAGGTGGATGGTTTACGTCGGAAACTTCGGGCTGTAATTCTTGCGCGAGAACAGTGCACGCGGCATATGGTGGTATGTACGAGGGGGGGCAGGCAGGTCAAAATGTAAGGGGGATCCTATAATTTGCCGCGCTGTAGTTTGGCCAACAAAGCTTATAGTTATCTCGCCAATTTAGTATAACCGTCCGCATTCATATGACCTGTCGCATTCATCGTAACGTTAACACCCTTTTGTTCTCTATTGAACTACTCGAGGATCGATTCTTAATATTAAAATAATTTTGACAAAAATTACTAATTTAATTGCTATTATAATACCATTACAATATTATATTAATACGAATTTTATTTTATTCTAAAGTTTTGTGATTATAACAGTTATACGGTATTCACGGAGCGAGGCAGGAAATATGAGCGTAGATTCGCTATATTTTCAAACTGTAAATCCGCGCCAAGTGAGTAACTCGAATCATTCAATTTCCACGTACTCGGGGAACTATTTATCAAGAATACCATTCCGCGCTGTCATATATAAGCCCATTCGCCAGTCTTCTCGTTCTTCCTAAAATAACCTGGGAGAACCTGGGAGAACCGCGCGCGACGAGCTTCCATGCAAATTTTACTTTCCCGCTTTTAAATTTACTCCTTTAAGTTCGTGGGGGAATCGTGCTCCTTGATTTTATTGTTTCGAAAAGCGCACGAGGAAGGAGCACCAGCGACTGAGACAAAGGAGTTGATCTTTGATGCGGCGTTCCGTCCTTTCGTCGCTCCGTTTCCGGGGACCGAGGATATTTGCATGACGACTGCGAAACCGCCGCGGGATCGGAATCGCGTCGAATTTCATTGGGAATGCGCATTTAAGCCACACTGCGACATAACGAAGGGGGAGAGACGAGTCTGTCATTACGCAAATTTAAGGCCGGACTGTATGTAAAAGCGAGACTCGCGCGCGGGTTCTCCGCGCGTAACTCTACACACTCGGCTCGTAAAGAGGCGCCCTGTATTAAAACACATTAAGTCCACCTGCCGGGTAGTTCCGCTCTAGTTTACGCACACGGTGTTTTACTGCTGATGCCAAAAATTTAATAAGCTCATGCAAATGAGAGCCCTTATGTAAATCTGGGAAATTTCACGGCTAACCAGACTGCCCAAATCGCGGTACATATTTTTCGTGCGCGCGAGATTCTTATTACGGCGATAAATTCCGACAGTTTAGCAGAAACTTACGGCAGAGTGACACTGATGCGCGTAGGCACTTTTAGCGCGTCCCGGCCCACATTTTGCTGGGATAAAAGCAAGGAGTGTAATTACCAACATTTCGTAGCGGCATCTACAATCTTGATATTTTCTCTTTCAATTTGAAAATTGTTTTAAAATAATTTTACAACAAAAAAGTTAAAAAATTATTGCAAAAAGTAAATAAATCGAAAAATCCCTCAACAATTGTTTCGTCTTTTGAAGAAAAAGACAGTATAAGCGAACGACTTCACTAATTGGCGCAATTAATCGAGCTTTTTATCACACCGTGGTATGCCCGGCGTTGTATCTAAGGGCAAAACTTAGCGGAGCATAAATCACGCGGAAGAAAAATTTGACGTTAAAATGAGAAGTAGCTTCCTTCGACGTACTTTATCCACGCCGACGGAGTAGCGGTCGGGGAGTTCGATCTCTCGCGGCGGCGCTCGCTAAGTTACTTGATCTGCTCCCTCTAGCTAGCGTCTCGTGATAACTTTGTGATGGCTGGATAAGGATTTTGCGCCGGGTGGCTACGCGCGCGTCGACTCGCCGCACACTAAAGAGAAACGAGAAGACAGAGGTGCTCGGGCTTGAAGTCGAGCGAAACTTTCCAGCGTCGTGGAAACTCGGCATTCGCGAAGGTGTTACGAAAGTCGTATATTCGCGAAATGATACCGGACGTCTCTTGTTACTTCAACAACGGGACAACGACGTTGCTTTGCGTTTACGTGCTTTACGATACGGTCGACCATCGCGAATAAACACGTGTTTCGCAAGCGGAACCGGAGAATCGATTGGCCGTTTGCGCGTGAAACGAACGATTTCGCGGCGTTATGACGCGTAAGTTTTGAAATGGCTGTGACTCAATGCCGCTCCGTTAATTTTGCATGCCACAGTGAACAGATCCGCTCTGGATAATTTTGATTTATCTCATATTCCTTCGTTAACGCATGTGTATGAATATGTTTCTAAGTAACAATAATTTACATAAAATGAATATTTCAAATGTATAAATATTTTTAATATACATACGAGTTTCTAGAAATACTGTGCATATATAAATTGCACAATTGATGAATACATTTTTTATTCATTAAAATGAAGAAAAGAAAATAAAAAATAAATTATTATTGCAAATTTATTACTTACCCAGAACGCGCAGAATGTAGCATAATCTCGTCCTGTAACAAAAAATAAATGTCCTTTAGCACTTTGTACAATTTGGAAATAAAATAATAATTTAGAGCATTAATATTACGATATTAAATATATTTATAAATATTAAATAATAATGCATATATTCCACGCATGATTATAAATACTTCTTCGTACATGGTAATGTAAAGCGGAAGCTCTTACGACAATACATTTTTTAGATTTATACTAACCATCCGGTTGCATATAGATTGTGTATAATGAATTCAATAATTGCCACGATACACGTAGCATTAGTCAGTTGCATGGCGCTATGCAATTAGAAGAAAAAAATGCTACGTCACAAAGTAACCGGAGTTCGTTATGGCATTAAACAGCACTTCGTGTGTGGCGCGTGTTCCTTGTGTGAACACAGTGTGCACACGCCCGTCGGACCTTCGAAAGTTCCGAAAAAAGGAGAATGAGAACGCCGATACTCGATCTACGGACGACTGCATTCACGCCGGGCGTAGATACATTTAGCAAGTTGGGATGACGCGGCAGCGCGCGGGGCTCATTGAAAGTTGAAGTGTTGTTTCTTGTTTTACGAAGCGGAAAACTACTTGGGTGCTTAAGAGATAATTTGTCAGACGGAAGACTGGGAGGAGCTGCTACTAGGATTCTAACGGGAAGAAACGCGTGTCTCTCTCTCTGTCTGTCTGTCTCTCTCTCTCTCTTCTTCTTCTTCTTCTCTCTCTCTCTCTCTCTCTCTCTCTCTCTCTCTCTCTCTCTCTGCGATCTCAGCGCGTATGTATGTATGTTTGCGTATTTCATCGTTTACTCTCGGGCTTCACTTCAATCATGCGGATCTCGGGAAACCGACAGATCGTTCTGACATCTCAGAAAAAGTCCGAACGTGTGTTTGCAAACCTCTTTGATGTGCCACACATTTCAAGCTTAACTACACGCGCACACACGCGAATGCTTACCTTACACTCGAGTGTTATCGAGTAATCCGGTTCGAAAGTATAAGATCATCGTTACATTCAAAGATCGCGCGTTCAATGGGGATCGAGATGTTTTAAGGACCCTGGGCGCGGTATAATGTAAAGACTCTAATATTCTTATGCATAATTCATATGACATTATTAACCCTCTTTAAAGCGCACTCTTGTATAATTATAATTGTATAAGATCCTTTTATGATAATACACGCCACTAGCTTCACCCAGTCATCCCGCTTTGCGCGAAAGATAACTCGCTCGGACGTTCTGCAAATTTCGTTTTATGCTATTCGTTTTGCGTACGAATGGGGATGCAGAAGTTTGTCTCTATCGGCTCGTTCCAGCAGAATGAAGGGCCCGGATTACAAGTTCCGCGGAGGAAAATTACAAGTTATACCCGTCCACAGCGGCATACAGTTTTGCCTCGGTGTATTACTTCTGTTTTCTTGAAAATGGAAGCGGATATGTCCCGGACGGTACTCGCCAAGATTTTCATGAATATTCTTTAGCCGACACTAATGCGCTTTATAAATATGTATTAAAGCCGCGCGGATATCTCCGACAAATTAAGCTTTCCAGCTGCTCCGTAACCCTTCCCGTTCCTTTCAGCCAGCGCGTTGCCGTCGGAAAGACGCAATTGGAATAATAATCCTCCCGACGAGCGATCTCCGCATTGCGCCGATTCGTGGCGGAAGGGACTCGCTTTAATATTCCGCGGCCGTACCTATATTTTTCTATTACTCGACCGAGGGATTATGGCGTTATAATTAATCCGATCCGATTATAAGCCGCGTTAATGAGAAGCACCAGCGAGTGACCCGAAGTACATGTATGCGCGACGACGAGTATCGTGTGCTGCATTTTATATTAGCGCGAGCGAGCGAGCGCGCGTTCGTAAACGCAACACAGGCTTTCGCTCTCATTTGCGTTGCATGAACGCTCACTCGCTTCCTTCCCCCCTCCCGTAAAAAGTATAGAATGTAAATATCATGCGGGAAAATCATGCAAATGAGAAACAAAATTAATCCCAGTCTATAGCACTCGGCGAATCGTAAATGTGAGTTCTGATTACGGCCTTAACCAGCCGCGATCCGCTTGTTTGTTAGACCCGGCCACTACGAACGCCGTGCACGATTGCGCTATCGGTCACTAGTTTCGCGGGTAAACGAATCGCGCGGCACTCGCGAGTTTGTTATGCTTTAACCGTATCTGCATCGGAAGTCATACCGTTACCGAATCGCGTGAAAAACCGCACCGCTTCGCGTGAGTGGGATGAATAGTCTTTTATGCAGAGTTGCCATTTCGGCGTTAGATACGCTAGAATGTATCGAAGAATTATTTGATTCGTTACTTTAAAATGTTGTCATAATAATTAACATCTACAAATCGTAAATTAACGTTTTGCTGATGTCGAATTATTTCTATTAACATGACTTTATTTACACCAAATAATTAAATTAATTTTAAAAATGTATGCACGTTTGAAAAATAAAACGTAAGAAAATATTGCGCGAAAAGCTGATGTAGCACTAAATTTACATTCACTCTTAAAAAAATTATTAAAATCTTTGTTGAATAGTAATATCGTATAACAAATAATTTCTTTAAATAAATATTAAGTACTTCATTATGCTTCGACAAAAGAATAAAAGTGATAAATTTTTGTAAAATGAAAACTGAAATGTAAAACCTAACGCATCATAATAAAAGTTTTCATATATAATGAAGTAATAAAATATGTAATCATATCCGCTTTTTTCGATGTGGGAAAACCTACCTTCCCTCTCTGAATATATCCGCAGCCTATAATAATAATCTCGTACTGTCATATTTCCGTCCGATATTTGAGCGAATGTCGATCGTGGTGCGTATATTTTTTTCATTTCTAACTTCCGTTTCATACAGAGGGTATAATAGCGTCTCTACAGGAAATTCCGACTTTTTTATATAGCATGAAAATGGAAGTCACTCCCGCAAAGTAAGCCACGTCTCTCATGCACTAGCATAAAAAGCTAATCAGACATAAAATGTAAAATAAAAAATGTATGTACATTTTGTTTTTTATATATCTATCACGCATATTTTTTAGATATTTACATTCGAATACATTACATTACTAAAATATAGCAATGCTTTAAATCTCAGATTTCTTATAATCTACAACTTGATACTTAAAAAATTACTAATTCGTATACGCTGTATAAATGCGAAACGAATTTAAATCTTCTAAAGGCTATCTAATTATACAGTAAACTATTAAAGTAACAAGAATTAACATTTTCAAATCTGTCTATCTTCTACAATAATTTAAAATGTCGCAGAAAGCACATATTGCCTCGTGATAAAATGCAAAGTTTTATACGATTCTTATAAAGTTATATAACTCTATAAAAAAATCCTATGCATTTGTAAAAGTCAGCAAATACAGATGCTGTGCATTTGTAGGATAATCCGCTTCGGCGAATTCTGTCAGCTACGTCAAACTCGCAATCCATTTTCTGTTGCATCGATTCGGATTTAGTTAGTCACCGGCATTCGGACAGTGACACGTGTATCGCCCTACTGTCTATCACTGCCAAAAGGCAGCTTGACATGGTCCAAGCTATAGACTGTTTAGTAGTCAATAAATTATGAGATATCGATGTTCCACGCATGTATACAACGCGCGTAGACTGAAAGCTTTAAACCCCATTCCTATATTCGTTAAAAAATGCTTTGAAAGAGAGAGAGTAATAAGTTATTATTTCATCGCTTATTATATGGTATATAAAGCACATACACGCAAAAGGACACTCTAACATCACGTTATATGTACGTACAAATTTGATATAAAAATTAAAACCGCAGTCTTTTATTTTGTGCAATATTTATTATCATTCTGCATCTTTTTTTATATCTTGCATGTAAATTCTTTGTATAAATTATATATTATACAATCTACCGTAATATAAAATAAATAATAATAGTTTATAGTCTTTGTGCTACGCATTATTTGGTTCTCATTTACCTTCTATATTATATTTTTAATAATATAAATGTTAATTATTAAAACGTCAAAAGATTATTTAAAATGTTCTGCATACAATAAATGTTTCATATCCAATTACTGCGATGCTTTAAACGATTATTTTTTATCAAACGCAATGTATCGCTTAAACAATTTTTACTTCTCGCTTTAAGAGACTTAGATATCGCACATAAAACTCTAGTATTAACACAATGATCCTTTTCGGACAACGTTACGTTCGAAATTGCCAAGACGGTATATATCGCGTACAGTGAAACTTCCGCTCGGAAAAGTCTGCGTAAAGTTTCAGCTTTAAAACCAATTAAGCCAATATAAACTTGGAGGCTATGTACGGACGGTCTTCTAGAGGCGTAGGCAAGACGGTTGAAGTAACCGGAAAGGATAACCGACATGAGTTTGATGCGGTAACTTCCTGAATGTTTAAGTGGCATAATCAAGCGAAATAGCTAGCGATCCGAACGAATTAGCAGTTCTTTCATATGTTTAATGGCTCTTTGTGTCGTAAAAGTTCAATAGATAATACGAAATCGATAAGCAGATAGCAGATTATTTTTTCCATTAACAATTTAATTAAATTAATAATTAATAATAATTTAAATTTTAAAAAATATAGATCACGCATTTAAAATAAATATATATTCATACGAATCTGCATAAATAAATGTTCGTGAACCTAGCATATCATTTTCCAGCAGATCAAAAATAAAAGAGAGTTCTTGTCGCATGCAGTCGAGTTCTATAGTTCCTTATAGTTCTTAGTAATAGTTCTGGTGATTTTATCCAAAAAAACACCAATCGAAAAATGATCTGCTAACTTCCCGTAGCAGATCATTTTCTAGCAGATCAAAAATAAAGAGAGTTCTTAGTCGCATGCAGTCGAGTTCTATAGTTCCTGATTAGTTTTTAATGTATAGTTCTGGTGT